AACGTGATAGGTAAGAAGCCACTGTGGAGCATCCCAAGTTCTCACCGTATGGGTCATAAATGGAAAACAGAGCAATGTGGAACAATGGAATTGAAATGAAAGAGAAAGCAACAAGATAATTAGGGAGACCACTCCCAAGAATATTCAGCATCTGGAGTGGGGAGTAGGTGGGGGAGACCAGAAATAACTGATGTCTTTGTCTCTTTTCTGTTGATGCAGTAAAACTTCAGATCCTGAGAAACCTAGATGTTTATTTGTTTCACAGGAAATGAAAACGCTTCAACCTTCCCCAAGAAGGGAAATAACTGAGCTCCATAAATGCACCTGAATGAGAATAAATAAACTTAACGTAATAATCTGCTATACAAATGCCACTGGTTATGTCCATCTAGGACATGATGAATTCCTCTGCAGACACTCTGCCACATATGATGCTGATATTCACAAAGCTGGTATGAAATAGCCAAGCAACTGGTTCATTTATAGGTGACATAAATTAAGTTCCTGCCTATTTAACATGCAAGAAGGTGACATTTTCATAATTTTAATATGTTTGCCTACTTACACAGGTGTGCCCTCTCCAGAGGTCCTATACTGTCCAGGGATTTCCACACGGCAACTGAACTGCATAGGTGCTACAGTTGGGACACTGTCCCACTAGGGCACATCTAAGCCTCTCTAAACATGTCCCCAGGCTCCCTGAGGACCTGACAAGTACTCATGGACATTTGCAGGTAGCAGATAATCATGCTTCAGCCAGTTCTCCCAAGGACAACAGGGTAAGTGGATAAGAAATGAGACAGTTGTGTTGGTACAGAAACCAAGGATTCATGAATTCCTAGACAATGCCACATAGTTTTACAGTTATGTCCTGGGACAACAGAACAAGCAGAGCTCTACTTTCTTCCTTCCCTTCCTCCTGTCTTCAAATCTCTTCTACACAAATGAAAGAAACATTCATTCTTGCCTTTCGCACAGACTGATTATGTGAACAGAGATGAAGCCTGGTTACAGCATGGCTGTGTTCTGCCTGCTGGGTGAACTTCCAGTTAGACAGCCAGGGCCATCTACATAAGAGCACAGTAAGAATGATATATTTTAGTCTTTATGGCCTGTTGGGAGAGGCATTCATTAATGAAGGCTCCCCTGCATACCCCTGCCCGGAATTCTCTCTCCCCACTGTAACCTGCGATGACATTTCAGTTGACATATCTAGGGATGTCTCAATTGTCCCTAGAAAGGCACACTTCTCTGTCAATGGTCCTCTCTGTGTGTGCCATTGTCCACCCTCCATGAGTCAACAGTCCTCCTTGGTGTTCACAGTCACTCTTCCACGTGTAATGAACCAGGTCTCTGTAGGACACACCCAACACACACACAGTGACTCTGGATATGACTGTCCTTTTTCTCTTCCATCCACTTAGTATCACCTCACAGAGGACATATATTTGGATCTGGCTTTTCCTTCCAGTCTGGAGGTCATTCCCTGAATTTATATCATGTGCTTACTATCTAATATGAGTAGGTAGCCTACTCCTTCCTGCCTCTTGCAATACTGTTCTTGAACAGCTCTGATTAGTTTCCTTGCTATGGCAGCATATCTGAGTCACCATCAGGCTAACCTGCAAGGCTCCAGAGTCCACACACTACAGGGATGTATGAGCCTATTGGAGTCTCCCTGCCTCTTCCCTCTTCTCCCTCCAAGAAGCCAGCACCATTATAGAAAACTTGAGGGGCTACAAGACAGGACTTAGCGTTTGGCCCTTAGAGAGCCTAGGCCGCAGCTTCTGGACCTACACAGGTCCTGTCTGTGGGTGGCCAGACAGCTTTTCAGTATTGTAGTAGGCGTACAGGCAAGTGCCTCCATGCCCATCTCAGAAAGAGGACCCTGACAAAGGGGTAAAGCAAAGACAGTTTTGTAAAAATTATGCTGAACAAAATCAACTCAGACCTCACGTAATGAACTCAATCCAGGGTGGACTTAGTGGTAATCTTCAAATTTTTTGAAAACACACATATAACTCCACAGAACTAAATACATTTCATGAAAATTTACGACTTTGGCTCTTCAAAAGCCCTTACCTGGAAGATACAGACAGGCTCGGGGACAAGGGAAAAGATTGGCAAAGGACTGTATCTAGATTTTAGAAACTGCAAAAGGGGCTGGGAGATGACTTTGTGGATCAAGTATATGCTGGATGAGAAAGAAGACAAGAGTTTGACTCTCCAGCACTCATGTAAAAAGCAAGGCTTGGTGGCCAGTATCAAATACGGGAGACAGGTAGGTCCTAGGGGTTCACTGGCCTACCTGCCTAGCCAAAACAGAGAGTGTCAAGAACTTTGAGAGTTCCTGTGCCCCCAAAATGAGGTGAAGATGTAACTGAGGAACATGGTGGCATATACCCCTAGCCTCCACACATACATACACAAACATTCACTCACACTCAAGCGCTACCACTGATCTACACCTCCAGCAGTCTACCCTCTTTTCTCTGTATTCTGTGTGTGGAGGGGTGGTGGTGTGCAGTGTGTGTCTCATGATGTAATGTGGAGGTCAGAGAACATCTCATAGGCATTGGACCCCTGCTTCCATCACGTGGTTTCTGGGGACTGACCTCAGGCCATCAAGCTTGTTACAAGGGAAAAGTCATCAGGATGCTTGGCAGCAAGCGCCTTTACCAGCTGAGCCATTTTGCCTGCCCACCTACCCTCTTTTTCAACAGACTGTCTGGGGTATTTTGTCTCATTGCCAGAAGGAGGCTAACCCATGCATGGACACGTATGATCTTGGAGTGGTCGAAAGAAATTAACTATTGATTCTTGCAAATACTTAGATGGATCTAAAATGTTGCTGAGGAACAATGTTCATCCTGTGTTATAGACTTTCTCTTGTAACATAATATTCTGATAAGGAAAAATATCCCAAAATTATAGAGTTGTCAGGTCCAAAAGAAACTCAAGACAAATAGCAATCTGCAGTGCCTATTAGCATAACAAAGCAAACGGTGGCCTCCAGGTATACTCAGTACCTGTAGCTCTTCTCACCCCACCCCTACCCAAAACTTCTAAAGTTCCTGGGCTTCCTACCCTCCCTTCCTATATAACCCTGACATTGCAGGCTTTCACTCCCTTGGTCATCTTTTGTTTTCATCTCCTCCTCTCTGAAGGTCTCCACCTCCCCATTTCCCATCATGGCCTGGTCCAAATGCAGGCCATGTTTAGTCTACTGCTTTCTCTCCCTGCTCTGAACTCTTTCAGATACCTCAGGCTGTGCTCTCCCTCATCTCAACAATATACCCTTCCCCTCAACCATACCTTGGAGTTTCTGTGTCCTCACTTTATACACAGATGAAATTAATGGTACATGCATGTAAATATAAAAAACCTACATAATGTTGGTGACCAGTCTCCCCCTGCAGTACTAAATGATCATGAAAGTCATTACCACAAGAGAGAACTTGGAGAAGGGATTGTATAATCTCTAGGTGTAAGTTTTGACACCTGCATAAACCTTGTTATCAACATATAAAATTTTAAAGATGATTTGATTATGGCCAGACAGTGGTAACACATACCTCTAATTCCAGTACTTGGGAGGCAGAGGCAGGCAGATATCAGTAAGTTCAAGGCCAACCTGGTCTACAAATTGAGTTCCAGGACAACCAGGACTGTTCTACAAAGAAACTCTGTCTCGGGAAAACTAAAAAAAGAAAGATGATTTAATTATAATATGATAATAACTAAAGACAAATACACAATAAAATAAACTGGATGAGTAGCTTTCTACTACAGATGAGAGGTCAATGCTTACTCCTACGATTTCTAAATTTCCTTTCCCAGGAACATACTTTCCTTTGTAATCATAAAGGATTTGATTAGGCATAAGGTGAAATATAAAAATAAGATAGCAATGGGACAAGAGAAGATTACTTGAGTGTCCAAAAGAGATGCCTTTACTTGAGATGTCCATGATCTGTTAACTGGGGGTGTTTCTTTCAGAGACCAGAGAGTAAGTTCTGTTGGAATGGTGTGATGTCATCAGTGTCTTCAGAATGTTTGAGTTCACTTAGCAACAGCCAGTGCTCTCCTGACAGTTGTTGAGACTTGAGCTCTGGGAAAGCTCTGAGAAAGCCTTGAGCAACGAGATATTGAGAGACCAGAATAGGTGCTCACACAGGTGAGTGTCACCCAGTGCCAAGTTAGACTAAATGTCAGGGCTCAACTACCTTCCTTCAGAGAGTCTTAGAGCTGTGTCAGAGATTCCCCTGGGAGTCTCCAGAAGGACAACAGGTGATATGATAAGAATGGAAACAGGTTTTAAATTAAGGGAAACAGAGGACGGGGGAAATGTAAACAAGGGGAGATAAATAAAAACAGGGAGAATGTTTAAGAAGAATCTTGTCCACCAATGACTGCTGATAAGACACAGCCATAAGGAAGATGATGTAGGGCACAGGATCTGCATGTGTAGGGAGATTTAACTGCCTATGAATGTATAGTGGTAAATAGATATATGGAAAGAGGAATGACAAAGGAAACAGGTGTGTAAAGTCATCCAGCCTGAGCCTACTGGAACATGTGATGCTCAGTAGCCATTCTTACCATTGGCAAAGCTATAGGGGTCAATCCACAGACATGTGGCATGCACTAGGCAAGGCCAGAAATCACCTTCTCATGTCTAAATGAAGTGATTTATAGTCATTCACAGATTACAGACTAAGTAAGTAGGATCTGATCAAATGATAATTCCAAAAGGAATCAAGACTGATAGGGCAGAGCTCCATGGAAGAGTACTTCCCCAGCATGTGTGCAGTCCTATATGCAAGTAACATCACCACAAAACAAACAAAAACCGCAGCTACCGTTAACTATGGAACCATGATTGCAAACTTTATTATAATTTTGTCTTAGAAAAAGAAGGTTACACAGAAATAGCCTGGGGTTGGAATCAGATTGATCCCCTGTCTTGCTTGGATAACCAAAGAAGACAGAATTCCTTTATGTCTACACCAGTCACCTCAGACACAGCACCAAGGTTTCAGAAGCCAATGAACTGTCAAAAGAGAAAAAGACTTGGGAAAGTAAAGACAGGTGTGTATGACCCTCGGTGTTATTGCCCTGGTCCCCAGATGCATGAAGGAGGAAGCAGCATGGCCACTGAACCTAGCCCCACCCTCTTCCCCAGCTACCCTGAGTCAGCTTCCACAGTAGCATGGCAGGGTGTTTCCTGGTGAGCAGGGAGGTCACTTCTTATTTACTCTTTACAGCTATGTCAGACAGAAGATCAGAGAGGTCAGCTGTCTCTCTTAAGGCACCATGCAATCAGAATGACTCACGAAAAGAGGTGCCAGAGAATAGTGTTTGCTTAGCCGAAAAAGGTACATAGGAATTCAACCCTACACCACCTTGGTAAATAAGTGCATATTGGACTTAGGGGGACATTCCTCTTAGATATATTCACATTACACGCTAATTCTACAAGGTGTATGAGAAGGGTTGGGCCTGGCATTGGCCAAGCAGGTCTTTCTGGGCTCATGCTGTGCTCTTCTCTTCCTGCAGCTCGACAGGCCAAGAGTACTCCAGTTCCCAGAGGTGCCTCTGCAAAGGATGTCCGTGAGCAGAGATCCAAGAGGAAGAGGGGACACAGAAAAAGAAAACTGGAGAATGTCATGACTGGTTTGTGTCTGCATGCATGTCAGTATGAATGAAATAGCATGGCCACTATACAGAGTCCCTCCATCTTCCCAAACTTTCCTAAATCCACTTGTACAGGGCCATAGCAAGGGTGTCCTGGTGAGCCAGGACATCACTTCCTTGGTCACTGTTGTAGCTATGGCAGATAAATGATCAACAAGTTCATCTGTCTCCACAGGGGTGGCCTCCAGGCAGAAGGATCCAGAGAAAGAGGCAGCAGAGAGAATCTAGTGCTTGGCAAAAAAGAGCACATAGTAACTCAATTTCTAGTCTCCACTGTAGATACACAAGGGCCATCCTCCCAGATTTCTTCAGATGTCACATGGAATGAGAAGAGAACTCTGCCATGTCCAGGTTGTCCCTCTTGTGGTCACATGAGGTCTCCTCTTCCTGCAGATCCAGAAGACGACATCATTATTATCTCTAGCGATGACTCTCCAGGGGATGGTCCTGAGCAGAGATCTAAGAACAACAGTGAACAAAGAAAAAGGAAACTGGAGAATGTCATGACTGGTATGTGTCTGCATACCCGTTGGCATTCATGTCCCAGTATGAATGATACAGCATGGCCACGATGCAGAGTCCCTCCATCTACACAAGCTGTCCTAAATCCACTCGTACAGGGCCATAGCAAGGGGGGGTCCTGGTGAGCCAAGTCATTCCTTGGTCACCTTTGTAGCTATGATAGATAGAAGATAAAAAAATCTATCTCCATACGGGTTTGCTACAGACAGAATGATCCAGAGAAAGAAGCACCAGTGAGGAGCTGGTACTTGGTAAAGAAAAGTACATAGTAACTCAATTTTTTGTCTCCTTTGTGGATACGTCAAGGCCTTTCCTTTCAGACTTCTTGGGTTGTGGTATGGAATGGTCAGAAGGGAAGAACTCGGTGGTGTCCAGGTTGTCCCTCTTGTGGTCACGTGAGACCTTCTCTTCCTGCAGATCCTGAAGACATCATTATTATCTCCAGTGATGACTCTCCAGAGGCTGTCCCTGAGCAGAGATCCATGAACAATGGTGGACCAAGGAAAAGGAAACTGGAAGATGTCACGACTGGTATGTGTCTGCATGCCCCTTGACATTCCCGTCTCAGTATGAATGAAACAGCACGGCCACTATGCTTGGTCCTCCTATCTTCCGAAACTATCCTAAATCAAGTTCTACAGGGCCAACAAGTTCATCTGTCTCCATAGGGTTTTCCTGTAGACAGAATTATCCAGAGAAAGAGGCACGAGAGAGCAGCTAGTGCTTGGCAAAGAATAGTTCATAGTAACTCAATTTCTAGTCTCCTCTGTGCATGAGTGAAAGCCATTCCTTGAGACATCGTGAGATGTCACATGGGATTATAAAAAGGGAAGAACTCTGCCATGTCCAGGTTGTCCCTCTTATAGTCATGTGAGGTCTCCTCTTCCTGCAGATCCAGAAGACGACATCATTATTATCTCCAGCGATGACTCTCCAGGGGATGGCCCTGAGCAGCAGGCCAAGAGCAAGAGAGTCCAGAAGACAAAGGCACTGGGAGATGTCAAAGTAGGTATGTGCCCATCTTCCCTAGACACTGTGGTCTCTGTTTGAAGAGCCAGTTGTAGCCAAGTGACTACTTGTCACTCAGTCCTCAAAAAGAGACCAGTTCCTGGGTAATGGTCAGGAAGTGACCAGGGTTCCTGCTGTGGTTACATCCACGCTTACTAAGAAGCTTTTGTCCACACAGCTGCCCAGAAGAGCAGCCTGCAGGATTCAGGCACTGCCACCTCTGAAGCTACCCCTGGAGCTGCCTCAGAGCTAAAGTTCTCCAGAAGAAGGACAAAGAGGAGCATATGGACGGTGGGCTGTATCGAGGGGACAAAACTCACCATAAAGAAGAAGAGAAGACTCTGTTACCAGCCTGAGGACCTTGAAGCCTTCTACCGACTCCTCGGTTGGTTCTAGGAACTCGGGATTGGATACTTAGGGCCAGTTCAAAACTGAAAATGGGGTATGGAGAGTACTGGCTCGAACCTTCCCCCAGTGCTCATGGGCCCTTAGGTGACACAGATAAAGGGCCTCCTTGTTATGTGGAGGTGTCCCCTTTCTATGACAACCTCTCAGATAGAGGAAAGCAGACTTACTCATGAGTACTGATGTAGGTGCTTCTCTCCTCACCAAACAACCCAAAAGTCAAGATGGTGCACACTAGAAAGACAGGAAATATCACTGACCCCAGCCTTGGGGATGCACTGTTGGGTAGACACAAAAACTAAAAGACCCAAACATTTCACAAATAAAGATTATATTAGCTCTTGGCAGCTTCACAGGAAAGGATCTGAAGGCCATGGCACCTAGAGGTGGGACAGCAAAAAGACAGGAGATCTCTATGGCACTAGTAAGGCATAGAGGTCTCTCTAGGTGGTATCAGGTCACAGATCTGGGACCAAGTGTGGCAGATTGTGAACAACACCCAGGTGCTCTACCCAGTACAGCACCTACCAGTCACAGCAGATGTTTACTTTGTGTTAATGGAGTAAACAGACGATGGATGTTCAGTTCCCCGGTCTCATCAGCTGTGATTCTGTGTTCAGGGCCTACATGTGGCCATGGGCTGCCATATTGGATGGTAGAGGACAGGATGCCTTAGCACTGAGCACTCTCTCAGACAGTGCCCTCTGGGGGTCAGGGACATTGCAGAGGACCCAGGCTGTGCAAGCACTATTTATTATTTGCCTGGCAGCTAGTGACGCATACACAGGACCCCACCCCACCCCAGCAAGTCTACTTAAAAGAATGGTGCCTCCAGGAAGGACCTCAAAGACAAATGAGCTCTTATGGAGAAGGGGAATCTGGTCCCTACCTCAGAGGAGAGGGGACCCAAGCTATGAAGCTATGAGCTTTCCATCTTTACCCAAGGATTCAGTTATCATCCAGAGATGAGGATCTTGGTACAGTCTCAGTATGAGAAATGGGCAGACTGTGCAGTCACAGAGATCCAGGCCACACCTAAGGTTTGAATGAAGTAAAATTTAACATTGGGAGCTATGCTCAATAGAAAGTATCAAATGTCATCATTGACCAAGCTCAGGAATCAACACCAGCAAAGTACAACATGGCTGTGTCAATGACAGCGACAAACTATGTTCTTGATATGAAAGTTAAGGTCTTTTAGATAGGTCCTGCTTCCTCTCAGGAATTCAAAGGGGTTGGGGATGGGGATGACGTCTGAAGGCCACACATTTCTTCCAAAGTTTCCCCCACCATCACACGCTTGGCCCAAAGAGATGGGAGATCCAACTGCCTCTCATACTTGCTTTCTTTGCAGAGGATCCTGTGGTCCAGAATTTTTTGGCAGCTGACATTTTCTTCAGAATGACCGACAAGGTATCTGGAACCTCAGATATTCTGCAGTCACTGCCCTCGGGGATACACAGAAAACATAAGACTGGTCTAGGCCAGGATAACCCAGGACTGCTCTCCAGGACAGAGGCAACAGAGACTTGCTGCCCATCCCTATTATAACCCCCAACTTCCTTCCTGGTTTTCCAATTAGCTCACATCCACAAAGCAAATGTATTCCACTCCCCCTTTCTGTGTATAATTTGGAGTATAATGATCAGTTGCACAAGGTGCAGACCCCACTGAGATTTCTTGCCCTCTTGTCTACTACCTGCCTCCCCTCACCCAGTCTCTGTCCACACAGTACCTGCTGTCCATGGTGGTGGAGTACTTTGGCCGACTCGGGCTTCCTGGACATCTCTACAACAGGATCCACTTCTTTCTGGCCCTGTGAGCATCACGAGGGAACAAATCTTTCCAAATCCCATTCCCAAAGCTCCCCTCACTCCATAAGGCCTGAGTGGTGATCCTCAGCAATAAAGTAGTTGAAACTTTCAAGGGCCCAGAAGGGGGAAAGGGAGGGTCCTGACATCATGAAGGATCTTTACTCCCTTTAAGAAGGAAAAACAGAAGTGTCCGTTTCCTTGACTGAGAAGTGAATGGGTCCTTCAGGCTTTGTTGCAGGATGCCCTGGGGATGCTCTATCCTAGGGTGACCCTGCACAGACTGCTTTTCCACTCTATGTCTAGAGATACATGCTCCCACCTTCCTCTGACTGTCACCGTTAAGGACATGTACTTCCCCTTTCCTGTGGCAGCTACATCGCCTTTGACATGGAAGAGGATGACCCCATATTCAAGAGGAGCATCTTTCAATTCCTGCTGGGCACAGACACATGGCAGAACTTATACAAGGACTTCCAAAGGCTGCAGGGGGAGTTCCTCCAAGTCATAGATTACCGAGCTTGGCTCACACGACAGGAGTGTGAAGAGGTCTGCCAGGGATCAGCCCGGGGAGGGGGTAGACAGGGTGCTGCCCAGAGAAGAACAAGGATGGGTCCATCCTCCTGGACTCACCTCTCATTTCCCTTTCAGATCCAGAACCAGAATCCACACCACTGGGTCTGGAGCCGGGTGCGACAGAGTGCCCCTTAGGTTCCCAGGCCTGGGGACCGTCAGCAGGTTAGTGGAGGTCCTGGCCAGCCTCACGCATGACCTAGCTCTGTCCTCTGGGTTCCTGAAGCTGTATTCTGTGCTGTATGTTCATAAGAGGAATTCAATACTCTTGAATGAGAGCATTGGACATATGACCACTTCTGAGGTACAGAAAAACATTCAAATCCCAGTTCTCCAACTGAATTACATCATTGGATCATGCAGTCCATGGTGCAAAGTTTCAATGTGCATGTCCTTTTTGATGCAGTTTTGTTGTTGTTGTCGTTTTGGTTTTTAACTCTCAGAAACAGAGAATACTGGCATGTAAAAGGAGGGAGCAGGCAGGGGATTTCGAGAGCAAGTCCCAACCATGACACAGCAGGAACAACCCCGTCTAGCATAACACACCAATGGGCACCTCATTCAGTTGAAATTTCCTTTTCTATTTGGATTTACTCCAAGTGGGGAGAGAACGCCAGTAAAATTCTTAAAGGTCTCTTGTTCCTCAGTGTTTGTGCTAAAATAACCCAGTAAATATCCTGCCACGCTACAGGGTGTGACAGAGCCCCATCAGTCCAGGAGATCGCGAGTATTAGTGGAAAGATGAAATCAGGAACCCTGCGTTACAAGATAACCACATTGGGTGGAATTTTTACTTCATCCCCAGCACTTTGCTACAATGGGAAAACTCACCTCATACACACTCAAGGGACCCCGTGATTCCAAATCCAGCCGCAGTGCTCAAGGCTACCTGTGTTTTGTCACGTGGAGCAGTGAGAATTCCATAGTATTTCCCACTATGAACTTTGTGAGTGATGTGCAGAAGTTTGTCTTTTATCCTTACACTACTTTCTCTCTCTCCTTGTACAGTTGCTCCTGCCCATACCTGCCATTTCCTCCTCTCATCAAGAAACCAGAGCTTACACTCATGAAATAAGCACCCTAAGAATCCTACATCCATCCCTGGGCTCTCCTTATACATCCGGGATGAAGGATCCAGGGAGAGGACGGACCTCGGCAATGTGAAGCCAGAAACCAGCACAGCCAATGAACCTCAGGCTTCAAGCATGGCAGCCTCTAAAGGTCCCTACCTTGAAAATTCTCCATTGGATCCCACAACAGCTTGGAGTGGTCCAAGAAAACCATTTCCTTCAGTGACTGAGGACAGGGAGCTGCAATATCACACAAAGATCACGAGCCCTGGACCAGAGGAAGAAGAACTTAAGAAGCCAGTACAGGCTCTGGGGTGAAGCAGGGGACTGAGAAAGTGACTGACTCAAGTCAGAGGATGAGGTCAGGCCTGCCAGCTGAGCAAGCAATCTCTATGGAAACTGTTGTCCTAAACCCTCCCACACAGTCTACCGGGGTCTCCAATGTCGGCTTATTCACACAAGATATTGGAGAAATCTCACCAAGGGCTTATGGGAAACACTGAGACGCTGAGTACAGTTATGTGGAGATCTGAGGCCACTATCAAAATATGATAGGAGAAAAGGGATCCCGTGAAATGCAGGCTGTTGCCATAGGGAAACAACCCAGCTTGCAAATGAGGGAGGCAGAAGCAGAAATGGGTGAGGAAGAGGAGGTGAGGGGATGAGGGTCTATGGTCACCCAAACACTGGGAACAAGATGGTGAAAGCTGAGGAACAGGAAAGATGAACAGAGGACAAATAGGGCAGATCCCAGGGTCACAGTGACGCTGACAGACTAGACCACTGCAAGGCAGATAGGACTGAAAACAAGAAAAAGACCACATCAGTTCAGCACACAGCTGACATTATTCAAATTATTTTGGGTACATGGTCTTGGATACAGTGCTTACATTGATATTTTTGCTATAATAGGTTACAGTATTTTGACTATAATTTGGTTATAATATTTTGTTAAAATGCTTTCAAATTTAAATTTTGATTATATTTCTTTGGATATAATATTTTGATGTTATACATTTTGGTAATTTTACTTTAGTTATAACTTGTTTCTTATAATATTTCTACTATATATCTATTATGTTAATTTGGATATATTATTTTAGTCATAATGATTTTATTATAATATTTTATGATAGTATTTAGTATATATTATTTTGCTTAAATTATTTTTGCTATACAACTTTGGTTATTATAATTGTTTATATTATTTTGCTGATATTTTTGTTTCTATTACTTTTATTGTAATGCCTTAGTGATGTTACTTTTTAGGTTACTTTGACTATAATATTTTGGTTATATTGTTTAAATTATATTGTTACATTACATATTAAATTATATTACATATTACTCATAAAATATTTTCATTATAAAATTTTCTTATCACATATCAGTAATATTGTCTTGGTTATTTTATTTTGTTTGTAATGTTTGGTTCTAACATTATAGGACTTATATTACTTGTGTTACAACATTATTTGTACTAATAAAAATGAATTATTTGCCAGAAAGACTCATTGGCTCACAAAGCAAAATTCTTTTCTTGACTATCTGAGAGATACAAAGTGATTCTTGGCATTACAAGCAAGGTTGCAGAAGTGGGACTGGCAGGTGTGCACACCAAGAGGAGTAGGATGCACATCTGGATTGCAAAGGAAAGAAACCCAGGTTTGAGCTCCACCAGAGACTGTGAAGGACACATGGACAGATGATTCTCTCATTCTCACCTCCTGGGATTCAGGAGGATGGCTAGGCATTAAACCACATTCATCCACACAAATTCATCTAAACTAGTTTGAAAATAAGAACATGAGAGGTGATTACGCTGCCTGATTTCCATCTTCTACTTCAGAGCTATAGCAATAAAGGGCACAGGTCGATGAAACAGATGACCCACATATAAGTATACACTGATGCTTTTCTACTGCCTTAGTTGCTGTACATGAATCTACAGATTTTTTTTTTATTATTATCTATAGCCCAATGGTCCCACAGTGAGTACACTGCCGGCTACTCAGACCCCAGCCTGGCAGGTCTACAGGTTTTCGACCTGGCTCTGCAGTGGTTCAATATGTTAGTTTAAATTAAGTCTCTACCATTCTAGTTATCAACAAAGGCTTGGTAGTCAGATGTGCAGTGAAAACCTGCTAGATTGGAGAAGCCAAGAAACAACCAGATGACCTTGCTTTTTGGCTAGAAACACCACAGGAGATTGTTTATTACTTTGTCCTAGAACCAAAAGGAATCTCAAACTCTACTCCCAGCCCTTTCCTTCCTCCATATCTTCTATAGCCAAATTTCCGGTTTCTCTATGGCTATTGCTGTCGGAGAGTCACTGGCTCATCCCCCTGTTTCTAGTAAACTTTATTGACTCTGGAATGTCAGGGGCAATCAAAATATCCCACAACATTCCCTACCCACCCCACATTTATCTAAATGAAGAGGAAAAAAAATTTAATTCAAACATAGCAAAACTATATACAAAAATACAGTTATGGAAGAAGTATACTTAAAATATCAATTCCATCTTTTTTGGCAATTTCAAAGAAATTACTCCATTATCTATCTAAAGTTTTATACGAAACCATTCTCTGCCATAACTTGTATTATCCTAAAAATATCCATATAGTCCTAAAAATAACTTAAGCTTTTATGCTTCTCAACCTTATAAAATTTACAACTCTTAGGTAAATTTCTTTTCTGAATTTGGTAACAAGGAAATCTAGTGCTTATCCCTGTCAAAGACCTGAAATGAATATAATATTACCCGAGTAAACAGGAAGTGTCAAGTAAGCATCTTCCAAAACTATAGAAATGACAGAAAACCCGTCTGCCTGGATAGTCACCCCAGGTTCCTCTGAAACACCGGGGAATTCATCTTCAATCTACACACCTACATTATCTGACAGGTGTTTTGAAAAGCAGGAATTTTGAAGGACTACCTTCCCTGTCTTGGCAAAGTTCAGCAGACACTTTCTTTCATATTCTGGTTGCACAATTTGGTCCCCATACTGTCAACAGTGGAGGCAAGGCAGTTTCTTTCCTTAGTGAATAACTTTGTCACAAGGAAATCAAACTCCATGTGGAAGTTTTTCAATACCCATCAACCTCTTTTGAAATAAAATGGTACTACCAGGGGAAGTTGTATCTCACTGTCATAAAAAGCCGTAGGTCATTAAAAAATCTTAAATGCCATGTGCTGTAGGTCTCTGAAGTGTTTGAAGATCATCTATCCAAAAGATATATGTGTTTGACCTTGAAAACCATACTTTCATGACTTCAAGTTTGATTGTTATAGATAACTAACCACTAACTACTAATTTCTGAATTATCTTAAACTGATTGCAATAATAGCCATAAAGGAAGAGCATCTTACACTGCATTTTAAAATGTGCTGCATATGTACAACACACTAAACAAGAGATGAAACACATACACAGTATAACAAAATTAACATCAACCTTTTATCATTATACAAAAGTGCATAACAATGTAAAATATTTGAGAATAATAGCTGCTCTTTAGATTAAAGGTAGATTCCATAATCTACTGTTTCACTCTATCATTTCTATAATGCTGCTTTTTTATTTTTTTAGAAAGAGGTCTCTGAATCTAAGCACCTTTGTTTAGTTTCCTCCCTGACTATGACCAATAACAACTGGCAAGTAAGACCTGTAACATGACAAATATCCATCAAATAGCTAGAAACCTGAGATTCGCCCTCTTGGGAATATGAGTGTTGTGTTCTCTAGACTGCTTCCTATTCTCTAGACTGCAACAGCATCCTTAGGGGACATTGAGAACACTGAGATAATAATCAAGTTCTTCCTTGGGAAAATGATCAAGTTCTTCTGTACTATTTTTTCTTTACTCTCTGTGTGATGGGAAGGTGTAGAGCTCTTCTGAAGTCCTGAGTGGAGAGTCTGTGAGGATGGACCATCTCAGCTAGCAGTTTTAAATTTGTTCTGCATGGAACTTCAAAGAACAGCTAATACCAATACTCCTGAAATTGTTCCACACAATAGAAACAGAAGGAACATTGCCAAATTCTTTTTATGATGCTACAGTTAC